TATACAGTATAGGCAGCATTAATAAATTGACGGATACGATGTATTATGAATGGACACCTCACAATCGTACAAAAGTTCATCATTACAAATTTTTCTAAAACCGAAGGATACCATTTCTTTAAGAATAAAATTTAAAGAAGGCGTAATTTGCTACCAAATGAGTACAAGAAATAATTTTTTCGTGCATATTCTCCATAAAAAATATTTGAATTTACAAAGGCAGTCAAAATCAATGATAAATACGCATAGTATTTAAGTTGTTACTTTTTACAGTACGTACGTTTTGTTAGTGGTCAGAACGAAGCTCGTTAAAAAGTCCGCATCCTATCCTGACTGAAATAACTTCAGAAGAGACCACACGATAATCAGTATCACAATCTGAGTCAATGCCGATTATCGAAAAAGTATCAATCCTTCGAATGCGTCGGCATGTTGCACCGACATTATATTTCACAATGCCAGTCAATATTTTATGAGTCACATCGCATACTAAACAAGAAATAAATCTGACTCAAAGCAGCTAGAGGAGGCTTCATAGGACGGCCAGTACTCAATGGGGGGACATAACTGTCGACGATGGTCAAGTCGGGAGAGAGGACACGGTCTTCTAACGAGCGGTTAAGTATGATGAACTCACACGCCGACACGTCTTCTGAGTTCAGAGTGGGCAGATTCTTGAGAGCACATGATGCAGACCATCAGTTGTCTTCAACTATGACCACCTTCAGCAAGGATGGCCACTGCCTTACTTTATCTTCAACCTCCCCCTTCGAGTTAGAGCAATTATAAAGATTTAATTTGATTGGAAATTCGATAGCGTGCTCCTTGCAACGCTGTTTGCTATTGTCTGCTTTCGCTATAGATCGAGGAGAATGATACCGGCGCCCTCCCGTAAAGCGAATAACGCAGTCCAATGAAGTCAAGGCCAATGCAGTGGCTGGAAAGCCCGCACGAAAAATTCTGGTATTGTATACCTATTTGGTAGGAAATTACGTACTCTTCAAATATTTTAATAGAAAAATGATTTCGTAGATTAAAACGTTTCTTAATCCTCCGAGAACTTGAACCCGGCCTGCCAGTATACAAGCTTTTTGGCTTTAAACGTAAGACGTAAACTTCTTTAGAAAAAAAGCATGCAATCGTCTATGTAGCCGGGAAGGTGTAATTTCGTACTACTTAAGTAGTCATTTTAACCGGAAAGAGATGCATTCGAAAGTCTGAGTCCCGACGTAATGCTTGGGACCATGCTTGGGACTATGCTGTATGATAAGTACACCCGCTCGCCTAATTAATTGTGCGTATTCGACATTATATTACAAAATGACATTTACTGTTTCACGCGTCACATCGCATACATCGTACAGGAACGAAATCATCACCAAGGCAGTCTTCAATGGGATCATATAATCGCTGACAAAGAGGCGACGCATTTCATGAGGCGTTAGCTTAAATTCTAAAACATGAACGGATTGCTTCGATGGTGTGTTGTAATCCTCATGCGGCATAATTCCAGGATAGTTCATTCGTGCCAGGGTGCCGACTTGTGAATGCTCTTCTCCCCAACCACCGGGAAAAGGCCAGCTCTTTAGAAAACGACCACATACCACATAACAAGAACACACAGAGAAAACAATAACTGTATTAATGGGGCCTCAAATCATTA